TAAGCCTAGAATGGGAGTTTGTGCTGGTTGCAACTTGGCGAGCGTCATCGCTCACGCTTGTGCACATCCCAAAAGTGTACCGTGTATGGATTCCCTGTGGATGCCAGTGTGAGCCACAACACCTGGCAAGTAGAAGTCTGACCGAACGCCACAAAATTGTGACAGAGCGGTGTGCTGACCTGTCGAGTTTCTGCAACCTGTACCCCGTTGCGCGAGGCGTAGACGCAGACGGCGGAACGCTGATGTCGGGATGTCAGGATAGGCACAGTTTTGTTTTGAACCATGACTAATATGCCCTTCATCCAGATGAAGGTCGTTTGGCTGTGGCGGATCGCAAGTGTAGAATGTGGACGCTGAAAAGTATAGAAGTTGCTGAGTGGCCCTGCGTTTGAATGACATCAACACTGTTACAGTCTCATGAAGGAAGGACAAAATCCTTTCGCGAGAACTTGACCTGTGTTCCCATGTTTGTCACCCTCTATCCCTGATCCACGCGCTGAAGCAGCAGGGGTTGGTGCTTCCAGGGATGACCATTGTCAACAGGACATGCAAGCAATGCCCTTGGCATGTTGCGGGCAGTGATGTTGGCAGTAGAGGAGCCCGTCCTTGTATTTTGTCCTGCACTTTCAGCTGCCCCAGGCAGCATCTGGACTCATCCACTGGTTGTCTGACAAGTGCAGAGCACGCAAATGACCATCATGGTCAAGCACGCAAGCACAAAGACCATGTGATCCTTCAGGCCATTTTGACCGGAGCAACTTTTATGTTGTGCAGCATGCAGCTGAGACAGATTGACTGTTTGACGTGAGCAATGCCATTGCGAAGAAAGGGCTGCCAAGCAAGCACTGAGCGTTTTTCACTGGACCAGGAGTTCCCATTCTGGCTTGCTCATTTTTGTGCTCTTCGTGCTTTTTCTTGCCGCATGGCCCAGGCGAAAGTTTTATTGGGCACTTTTCTAGGCCCAAATATTCGACTTTGTTGGCGTGAACGATGGCGGTGATGTCCGCTGCACAATTCAGTTGATGCTACCGTGCTACAATGTACTGCACTCTATTAACGCCCCTGTTGAAACTCGCTGAAAGGCACATCGACCCAAACTGGTGTTGGTCTATTGGTTTGGGTCCCGAGAGCCCTTTGACGTGCTCGTCGTTGTGTGTCATGCATAGGATGGCGTGACGGCCCTCGTGTGGGCTGCAAGCGATGGCCACACGAGCACAGTGGGTCTGCTGTTGGAAAAGGGCGCATCGGTAGACCAGGCTGACAAGGTGAGCTGACGCGGCCTTTCTTCTTCAGCAGTGGGGCTGGCATCTGTGAACGTGCACGTGATTTTGTGTCGCCCTGCGCTTTCAGTTGTGTTGTCTGTTTGCGAGTCCCCCTGTAATGGTGGTGTTCTGTGGTTAAGGGTTTGGCAACCATGCACACTTCCGAGTGCTGTTTTAATAGTGTACTGCCTCAAGGTGGGACACGTAATGTGCACCTGGGCTTTAGTGATTTGCTAGGATGCACGCGCCCTTTGTAAGCCTAGAATGGGAGTTTGTGTTGGTTGCAACTTGGCGAGCATCATCGCTCACGCTTGTGCACATCCCAAGAGTGTACTGTGTATGGATTCCCTGTGGATGTCAGTGTGAGCCACACAACACCTGGCAAGTAGAAGTCTGACCGAACGCCACAAAATTGTAACAGATCGGTGTGCTGACCTGTTGAGTTTCTGCAACCTGTACCCCGTTGCGCGAGGCGTAGACGCAGATGGCGGAACGCTGATGTCGGGATGTCAGGATAGGCACAGTTTTGTTTTGAACCATGACTAATATGCCCTTCATCCAGATGAAGGTCGTTTGGCTGTGGCGGATCGCAAGTGTAGAATGTGGACGCTGAAAAGTATAGAAGTTGCTGAGTGGCCCTGCGTTTGAATGACATCAACACTGTTACAGTCTCATGAAGGAAGGACAAACTCCTTTCGTGAGAACTTGGCTTGTGTTCCCATGTTTGTCACCCTCTATCCCTGATCCACGCGCTGCAGCAGCAGGGGTTGGTGCTTCCAGGGATGACCGTTGTCAAAAGGACATGCAAGCAATGCCCCTTGCATGTTGCGGGCAGTGATGTTGACAGTAGAGGTATTTTGTATTTTGTCCTGCACTTTGAGCTTCCCCAAGCAGCATCAGGACTCATCCACTGGTTGTCTGACAAGTGCAGAGCACGAAAATGACCATCATGGTCAAGCACGCAACCGCAAAGACCGTGTGATCCTTCAGGCCATTTTGGCCAATGCAACTTTTATGTTGTGCAGCATGCAGCTGAGACAGATTGACTGTTTGACGTGAGCAATGCCATTGCGAAGAAAGGGCTGCCAAGCAAGCACTGAGCGTTTTTCACTGGACCAGGAGTTCCCATTCTGGCTTGCTCATTTTTGTGCTCTTCGTGCTTCTTCTTGCCGCATGGCCCAGGCGAAAGTTTTATTGGGCACTTTTCTAGGCCCAAATATTCGACTTTGTTGGCGTGAACGATGGCGGTGATGTCCGCTGCACAATTCAGTTGATGCTACCGTGCTACAATGTACTGCACTCTATTAACGCCCCTGTTGAAACTCGCTGAAATGAACATTGACCCAAACTGGTATTGGTCTATTGGTTTGGGTCCCGAGAGCCCTTTGACGTGCTCGTCGTTGTGTGTCATGCATAGGATGGCGTGACGGCCCTCATGTACGCCGCAGTCGTTGGCCACACGAGCACCGTGGCACTGCTGTTGGAAATGGGCGCATCGGTAGACCAGGCTACGGAGGTGAGCTGACGCGGCCTTTCTTCTTCAGCAGTGGGGCTGGCATCTGTGAACGTGGACGTGTTTTTGTGTCGTCCTGCGCTTTCAGTTGTGTTGTCTGTTTGCGAGTCCCCCTGGAATGGTGGTGTGCTGCTGTTAAGCATTTGACAACCATGCATACTTCGTAGCGCTGTTCTAATAGTGTACTGCCTCGAGGTGGCACATGTAACATGCACCTGGGCTTTAGTGATTCGCTAGGACGCATTTGGAGGCCTAGAATGGGAGTTTGTGCTGTTTGCAACTTGGCAAACATCATTGCTCATGCTTGTGCTCATCCCAAAAGTGCACCGTGTATGGATTCCCTGTGGATGTCAGTGGGTCCCGCGACACATGGCAAGTAGAAGTCTGACCGAACGCCACGAAAATTTTTTAGCTATGATGAACATGCCAGCCATGCAATCAAGGTCGCGGGGTTGCTCTTTGCAAGATCGCAGCTGTTGAATGCAGATTCTGGGAAATACACATATTGCTGATCTGATCCATTTTCGATCCAATTTCCCTCATCGGTCACAGGCCGCATTCTCATCATCAATATGGGCACTTTGTGCCTCAAACCAGTCGGCTTTTGAATGACATCAACACTGCCACACTCACATTCAGTAAGGAGAAACTTCTTGACTGAGAGCATGCCTTGGTTTCCTATGGTCCTCACGTTCTATCCCTGATCCACGCATTGCAGCAGCAGGAAGTGGTGATTCCAGGTCGACAGTTTTGAGCAGGACATGCAAGTAAAGTGCTGGTCACCTTGCAAGCATTGATGATCAACATGGGTGGGGTGGGGTGGGGGAAGTGCTTGTGTTCTGTACTGCACTTCCATCTCCTCTAGAAGTAAGACTGTGCGTATTGCAAAGTTACCACACGCCGCAGCTGGCCACATTGAACAGATATCTGAGTAGCAGCGCGTGATGTACTGTACTCGATGATGCACCCGTTGAAACTCGTCAGGGCTCAAGAGCAGCTATGTATGATAGATGTACTGTAATGGGCCTTTCTTGGGCTCCTAGTCTCCTTTTCTATCCAGCATCAGGCGATTGCGACATTGTGGCTTAAGGAACAGGGGGGGGCCAGACCTGTGACACTAAGAGATTATGTAATTGCCACAAAATCGACATAGGCAGGGAAGGTGCCCAAAAACACTGACAAGCAGCGAACAACCCGTGAATTTTTCCTAAACCACTTGCAAGTGTTTCATCTGCAAAGAATGCCTTATAATGGATCAATTTGAGGCCAATGAGGCCACCCACCTTTGCCTATGATGGCATTTAGAATTCCATTTTTCAACCCACTGAAATCAGCAAAAGTTCCGCTGTTCTTTGTGCTCAAAAACACCTAGAAGTTGCGTACCATAGTCAGGTAATGTTTCTGATTCATCCTTGCATTGACATAAGGATTGACGCTGAGGCGTGGGGGGTGGGGGAAGGGGGTGCCTGAGCTCAACGTCGAATTGATGCTAAGCATGACAAAAGCGACACAGCGCCTTCCCTAATTGAGGAGCATTTGTGCTATCGTTTCCTGCGTATAGGTGTGCTGGACGAGTCTGGTATGGTCATACAAATATAAAATGTGACGTTGCCATGGTTTGAAAGGTCCAAATGGTGGTTTAACTTATGCTATACCCAAAAATATTCTGGGCGGCATGATCCTCCATCTTCATTGGCTCTCCATACATGGGATGTTGAAGACATTGCATGTGGTTCACAAATGAACTAGCTCGAGTCCAAATGTGAAATTGAGGTGTTCAATTTCTGAGAGACACCTGGGGAAATCATTGTGGTCAGCTTCTGTTGATTTACCTTGCATCAAAAGCCACATAATTTGTGCGACATTGCATGCAAACTCCTGTGCCTGATGGTGCAACAAATGTACTCATCGCCAAAGTGTCGTAGCAGGATCGTATGTGCTGTTGGGGCGGTTTCAACGGTTTTCAATACGATTGTCAGCTGGTGGAGGCCGCGTGGTGATGTGTGGGGTGAAAATTCGCCCAGGGCTTGAGCTTTCGGCGCCGTTGAGGGAGGGCTTCATTGGTGACTAGTGCAATCACGCGGGATTGCATTGTGCACTTTTGCTGTACAATGTGGCGTGCTGGACCATTCCAACATGACGTCATTAAATCTGATATAGCAAAGCTGGACCTGATATGATTGGTGGGCGACGAATATGGCAGTACGGCTGTCCTGCCAACAGCCATGCCCATACGCCAACGCATGCCAGCTAATGTCGGGCAAGGTGAGTGTTGCATCTGTGTTCTGACTGTTGTGATCAACTCACAGCTCGGATACACGGCCCTTTCAAGTGCATCGGCGAGGGGCCACGACACTACAGTGGAGCTGCTGCTGTCCCGCGCTGCAACTGTGGACAGTATCGACAAGGTATGCTTCCAAAATATGTCTCTCCTCCTGTTATGCCTATCTGAGGCTTTTACCAGCATTTGTGCGGTTGTGGTGGCGATTCTGTTTAAGAGGCCTCAACTCCAGAATTGTTGATGGATCACATTTTCTGGAATGTGTCAATTTGCGTTGCATGGAACACATTAGCCTTTGGTTATTTCAAGCAACTGGCGCATTGATAATGGAATGTCCAACCTGTGTTGAGTTCTGCCTATCGCATTGCCGGTTGTGCCAACGGGCCCAGTGCAGTCTTGCGCCAGGCGCACGCCTTGGTCTTGAGAAATGTGATGGACTGTGCAGGATGGCAACACACCCCTTGCAAAAGCAATAAAATTTGGCCACCCAAGCACCGTGGAGCTGCTGCTGAAGCATGGGGCACGCACGGACGTACCAAACGAGGTGGGACTGTTGTGTACTCCGTGGACCTTATCAACGCCTCAACATCCGTTCGAGTAAATGAATTCTTGGTTGAATTGATGAGACAATCGCACACATGTGGCTCCCCATAGGCTGCATAGCCTGTTGTGCAGTGTGGCTTTATTGTGCTGGTCAAAATATTTGGCACTGAAGGATACCAGCGGCAAATTGCACAAATCAGAGCGGTTCACGATGAACCAACGGCATGTCTTGCCGGCTCCTGTTGCTTGCTGAGTTGTGTTTTGCGTCTGCCATCTTATATAGAACAGACAGGCAGACGCTCACCCACCCACAGCTCCAGATCTGTGGACATCGGCGATCAGAATTTGAACACTGAAAGCACAGCAATCGAAGCAGTGTTTTGCCTTTGATGGACTTTGGCAGTGCGTCATCTTGATGAATGTGGCAAGACTTGTGGCTACCCACTGCTTGGCTCCTTCTGATGTCTGAAATACCTGGATGGCTTGAGTGTTTTGCGTGCCTAAGAGGTTGTATGCACTCAATGCGCAGACGGGAGCAACCCCTCTTTTTCATGTTTGGTCCGAACAGCGGGAAGAGAAGACTGATGAGCAGACTGCTGCGGAAATTGTTAGAATTATGTTAGACCATGGCGCTGCTGTGGAAGTTTCAGACAAAGTAAGAGAATTGCTCGGTGTTTTAAAATGCAGACCCACAGTCAAGTGAAAGGGGTGCAGCGGCTGACTGACGTGTGCGTTCAAAGTGCTCATTTGGTTTTGATATTGTGTGGACCACAGCTGCCGCAGGTCCATTGCGAGTCGATTGGCACACAGTTCCTAGTTGTTGTTTTCTTAATATCAGAACGCACATGCGACAATGGGCGCGTTGAACAGTGGCTTCCTTTTCATTTCCAGGCGCCACACAGCATCTGGTCTTGTTGCCTTTTTTATTTCCCCGGCCCCTTCTGAAGTGCTGTCGAATGGAAGCCGACCGAAACTGGTTGGGCACAATGGAGCGCATGCCATGCGCACAGAATGCTTGTTTCTGAATGCGCAAACGATGCCTTGGTCCAATTTTGAAGGGAAACTAGCAAATTATGATTGAGCAACTGCCGGCTGTGATGGAATGTCCTTGCTGCAAGAACAGCCTTGATGCACTGCTTTGAAACAACTCCCAGAGCAAACATATTGGCGTTTGCAAACAAGTTTGTAATGGGGTATTTGACCCACTTGTGCATTTTTTGTTCTTTTGCGCTGTGACTATACGTATTGCAACCGCCAAGTACATGGTGGGAAAAGAGGTTTGAAGGGGCGCGTGACAATGTGTGCCGATGTGCAGGGTGGCATGACTCCGCTGATGGCGGCTGCGAAGAGTGGCCACACATCCGCTGCAGAATTGCTGCTGGGCAAAGGGGCTTCGGTGGCGTCGACTGACAAGGTGACAATCAGGTCGCCACGGCTGGGATGTGGCGTTGCGCCCACCGATATAGTTGGCATGGGCTGAGAGGAAATGGCTATGCTCTACTTCTCTTGCGGGTGTGCACAGGAACATTGAATGCTGCTGGAGCGGTGCTGCGGAAGCGCAATTGCCCGTGCAACCAAGCAAACATTCCAGCTGCATTCACTGTGTGGTGTCGGAAGTCCAAATTTCATTGAGGGACTATGGACACCGTCGGTTGGCTTCAGACGCTGAAAGCCACAATCTCGTTATATGCAATCGAACTGCGTTCTGAGTTTTGCAGACCACGTCCCATAGTGGTGCAAGTATGCATGCGACCCCCCTCGGTGTCTGGAGATAACGCATGCCTATCGGTTCACGACATGGGAGCGCGCGCTTTGACATTGCGTCATCCCGGTGTCCACCTCGCCGGGTAGCGCCCGCAGTGATTTTGTCATATTTCGTCACATTGTTCGCATCACGTCATAGTTTGTCGTATTTTCATGTTTTGTTGGCGTTTGCTATGCTCAGGAAGGAAGAACAGCGGCGCAGTACGCCAGCGCTGGTGGGCATCACGAGCTGGCAAAGAAGCTGGGCGGCGGTGATTGAGGTGAAGGGTATCTGGACTGATCGCCATGACGGGGATGAGGACGCGGAGGCCGCCTAAGTGTGTGGGGCGCTGCCATGTCGAGTCCAAGCACCCCCAGTGCATTGCATCCATTGCGTCTTGGCCACCGCTTCATCCAGGGAGATGAGTTGGACACGGCCCCTCACGCTTGCAGGGACAGCGCTTGCGAAAGAAAACTGAAGGATTGGGGAGTGCCTGGCTCGCTAGCAGGTCGCTAATGGGCGTTTGTTTCAGAAGTTGGTGGTGGAGGGTCCGGGGGGTGACTTATTGCGCACACATGTGGCATTGAGAGACGCCACGTTCGTCGTAGGTTCAGCCATGGGCGCGGATGACAGCAGGGACGTTGACTGAAGTGTGGCGAGTAGTCTCAGGACCACGTCTGATGCGAGAATGGCAGTGAGTGTTCCTGTGAGAATGCGAGATGCCCCTCTGGGCTCCAGATTTCTGCGAGGCCAGCTGTGCGGGATGATGGCCGTTGCTATGGTTTTCCAAACAGGACTGCCATGCACGTAACTCTAGATTCTTGGGATGCGGACTTGCATCTTTGCGCTTCTTTTCTTGCCTGCTGCTCAAGCCAACAGCTCCGTATGACGCTGAAAGATGACGCATTTCGGCGACGTGCAGCCCCCCGAGTATTAGCATGCCGCATGTCATCACGATGAATCGGACGAGTGCATATTTACATAAGCTTCTGTCCGTAATCATCATTTGGCCCCACCAATCTTTAAATATATCTTATTTCAGATCACTTGTTCCACATTGTCCTTGGGCAAATAACGGGATGTGAAGAATGATACGCCTCCTCGCTGGGCATTGTGTTCACGATGCTGAGCATCGGGCGCTCCAATAATTCACTTACCGAAGTCCTGTGTCTGGATTTTGGCGGAGCAAGCAGAGGTGGTTAGGGGATGGGTGAGGGCAGGGCGAATCGTGTTGGTTGAGTTGGGGAGGTGGGTATCGTGCTAGCACACAATGATGTCAAACCAATCAAGCACATGGCAGGGCATCCAGAAAATTGCACAGTTTCGCCTGCCAGGCGGGGAGCAGGCACCCTCCAAGCGTAATAAGTCGATGTGCAGCCTTGAATCTTGTTCACAGGATTTGCATGGCGATTCAGGGACCAGACTGGCATTGAGCGTGTTGCCAGTGAGTCACTGGCAGTGACCCCACAGCACAGGGTGCCTGAGAACGAAATCTTGAACTTGCAAAAGATTGGCACACTGAAAAGGAAGCGCCAAGACCCCTCCCACCCCTCCTGTTGATCACACCACATCCAGGATCCTGAAGCAAGCGCGTGTTCTTTGTTCGTATTCAATTGGACTTTCCATTCGAATAACAAACCGCTTCCCACGCCACCCATCGAACCCAGTACTGGATCCTGCCCAGTCCCTGTTGCAGAAATCACATTGCGTAGTCTTTGGCGAGCTGAGCAGTAGCCTGTTCCCACTCTCAAGTGTCACACAGTCGTCAATAAGTCGCTTCAGGGCTTTGGGCCACAGCTGCTGAAATCGATCCCCACCAAGCGATGCCACAGAGCTGAGCACTCCAAGGTTTCGTTGCCACAGCGCAAGGGGTTAGAGTGGCCCTTGCCGTCCACCACATTCCCACAGCACCACTCCCATGGACAACATGTCAGTATTCTCGTTGAGCGGCATGTTCTTCATGAGACGGAAGAGCAGCACTTCCAGCGCCATGCATCCTGCAGAAGCGCAAGAATAAAGCCATTGAATCTATTGAACCACAGAGCTTTATTTCCCTTATCGGCAGTTTCCATGGAGCAAGGTATATACGGCACAGCCATTCCTAAAATCATCGCTGTGGTAGTTCCATCAACCCCACACTTGAATGCTAACAGTTCAGCTACACTTCAGCATCCTGACTGGAAATCGCTGGTGGAGTTTCGGTTCAACAAATGACAAGGCAGTCAAGTTGACTGGCAGTGACCAACAAAAGCTGCTCTCAACAATTGCTCCCATAATGTTACTGAAATCCTACTGTCAGGAATCCATTCGCGGTGCAGATTCCTGTCAAGAAAACCATAAGGATGTTGACACCTTCGTACAAAACATGGCTAGCAATCTGCAGAAAGCAAAATTGCCACAACTTGATGAATACTGCGCTCACACCTGCTGGGCATTGCAGCCGTCACTCACAAACTTGAAAATAAATGCACTCACAGAGGAGCCTTCGTCCTACAGAATATATGTGCACAAAGACAGACATTCAGTCGGTCGATGAAACAAGCAGCAGGATGCAATGATGCAGACATTGCCTTCTGGGAGCAGCCCACGTTCCGTAGGATGTCAGCTTGGCGTGATTCATCCAGAGGCGCCTCACACCACTGCCCAACCTTACAATAACCAGTGCCTATGGCCACAGGCATATCCTGAAAGTTTGGCTGATCCCTGGCCAGGACGTGGCACGATGGATGCCGCTGGCATCCTTGTGCAGGGATAGGATGTGCGATGGCAGCGATGGTTGGGTTGGATAGGCGAACCCTCCTGTACAGGAACCGCGACTGGAGGACGGGTCGTTTCAGCCGGGAAGCGTGCCGCGCCAGCACACGAACGTGCTTCAGCTGTGCAAGACTCTTGGCATTTGCGTGGCGAAAGTTCCACCACAGTTGCAAGCATGCACGTGGCCAAAATTTCCGATCCGCGTTTAATCGGCGTTTGCCTCGCGTCCCGACGCCTCGTCTCTGTTTCTGCTGCCTCGCTGCGTCGCGCCTGTTCGCCTCTGCGTGCTGTGTCTCTCCGTGTGTCCGCACGCCCGCTTACGCTCCCTGTCCGCAGAGGCAAAGAGGTCGGTGTGCACGATTAAGAGTGGCTGCTTGCAAGTGCAGAAACGGATATTACGGACGTTATTATTACATCCGCCGGACAAATAGCTGCCATGCCAGTCCTGCCCGTCAAATTGGCGGGAACTGCAACTTGCTCAAGCTTCAGCAGCTACACCTGCGTTGGCTGGGCTGTTGAGCACACGCACCACAGCGGCAGGGCCATTGCTCCAGCCTGCACTCACGCCACAGTGAGCGCAAAGCATAATTGCAAAACAGGAGGCCAAGGAAGTGTGAAAGGAGGTGCATGAGTTAGGAATTAACATAGTGCCATGACCTATATTGCCATCACATCCTGCATTTTTGTCATTTGGCACCCATTTTCTTCCGCTGTTGTTCAATTATGTACTGGTATTGATTTTCATTCAGGAACACTGATCTGTATCAGGTGAACACAAGTGCTTGAGTCTGGAATTAACTAAGCTCAATGGTCTAATCTGCATCAGACACCCAGCAGTTTTGCCATTTGCCACCCATTTTCGTCACTCTTGTTCAATGATCCATTGGTGTCATTTTGCATTCAATAACACTGATCTGCATCTGGTGATCACAGGTTCACATCCCTCATGTCACCTTACGTCATTCGTCAAGGGCAACATTTTCTTGTCAATTTCTGGAAAGTTACAATCCCTTTGCCTGATGTTTATGCCCAATTCCTTCTGTGATATCCACAGGCGCACATACTGCCACGGCGGGGACATGGAGGATGGGCATTTGGAGAGCATGGGATACACCTCCCAGGGTAGGTGCCGCGTGGTACCGTGTGTCTTGCAAAGTTATCTCTCTGCTCCCAGTAAAGTTGGCACATATATGAGCAAAAATTATGGTGCGAACTGGGTCCAAACACTCGTATAGGAAGTCAATTTTATTGTCAGTTGAAGTGCTGATGGGGGAAGCGCAGGGTGCAAGGGAGGTGGGGTTGGGAGCCAAAGTTGTCGGTGGCATGTAAGTGCTTCAAGGTGGTGCATGTAGCGAGTAGGATTGACAACAGACCTCAAACGAATGCACTGCAAGGGTTGTGGCAAGCTGTATGGAGGCAAGTGCAACTAGCGTTCAAACAGATGACTACCAAGGGTAGTGTGGATAGTGATGGTGCGCTCTTCCCCGCATAGGTGTGTAGTTTGGTGGAAGTTCACTATCACACAGGCGCCCTTTTTGCCCTCTTGTAGGACTTGTCACCACCCATCTACCTGATTTCTTGCTTAGAGTCCTACTTCTCCCACACTTCAATCGACGTCCGTGGGTTGTCTCACGTGATCATGCCAGTGATACCACGAGGGCTTCAGGCATTGGTGTAAAGCTACCTGCTAGCTGCTCGGCAGTGTTGTTGGGTTGCCGGTCTCTTAGATTTCGCTGCCCCGCTAACGTAGATGGATAACCATATCATGTCTGCACATAGGCTCTCTGGGTGCTCTGGCTCTTGGTGGTTCTTGGCACATCAACAAAGTTTGGGTCAATCTCCGCAATTAATGGACAGGTTGCCTGCGGAGAGTTGATATCGCTATGCACAATGCCTCGGTGCCGTTTAGCAAGTGCAAAGGATTTCGGTACATGCATCTACCGTGGATTGGCTGCGTTGCGTGGCATGTCTCAAGGGAATAATAGGGATAATGAGCACCCTGTGCGAGGACTGCACATTCACAGGAGAGTGGATCGTGGGGGCATAAATGCATGGCTGGCTCACCTCATGCGCGGTTTTGAGAAGCTCTGGATTTTCTCTCACGTCGCATTTCTCCGCATCATCGTTGCTTATCTGCACAAGAAGAAAGCAATTGCCATTGTTGCAATGTGCCTGCGGTCAACATTAGTTGCAAAACCACAGAAAACAATAAGGAGAAGTGGGGTTGCAACTGCTTCGCAGCCACATACGCAAGTCCAACCAATACGCAAGAGAGAATGCTTGCAGGCTGAAGTGTCTTTGCTTTGTTGCAGCTGTGTGCAAATGGCTGGACGACCAGCACCTATTCACTACTAGAACAAAGAATGGGAAGCAGTCAAAAGACTACCGCATCCAGAAGCGGATTGGTGGTGTACATCGCCATGTTGGGTATGCAAGGTAAGAAGGGAGCAACAATCAATGGTTCATTACAACAGAGCTTGTTGCATCTACTTTCCAGTTCAGAAGCCAATTGACCACGTTTTATA